TCATTAAATTTGTGTTCAGAGAATATATATTCAACAATAAAGTAAATTGAGATAATTCTGTAATACATTTGATATTGTTTTATTTGAGTCTTCCCATTGATGTTTAGGACTGAAATTGTTCAGTCTGTTATTGGCTGGCACATGTGCATACTGTGCGTATGTCTCGATATTGCCTTAATTTACAAGCATTATAAGCAAAGATGGATAGTGGCTAGCAGTGGAATCCAGGACGCGCGTTTCGTCCTATTTGGGACTCGTCAGCTGGATGTACCTGCATCTGAGTTGATATTCACTCCAGGACTCAAACCCAGTAGCGTCCGCTTCAAACGCCATTCTGTAATAGTTTTACGAAGACGAAGTTAAAACTAGAATCAGTAATTCAAAATGGTAAACTACATAGACATAACAAGCTTGGTCTTAAAAAATAGATGAAAGCTATTCTGGTGAGACTATAGTTTATGGACGACCTTTGAATGACGCCAGATTGACCTTGACTGTCCGCCCAATAACAAGGAACAAATGAGGGTTATAAATTAGTGTGAGGAATTCGAATTATGATTTACAGTTGACGGTTATGGTTAGGAATTAAATTTAGGGTTTTCATCACGAACTGACATCAACTATGGTGCCAAGACTCTATTTAGTCAAATGGATGAGCGAATTTCGCGTCAAAATCCGAGACCAGTTATCATATACATGATTGGTTCGTCCAAAAATTAGTCTTTCTGCTATTCTTTCTAGTGACCTAGAGAGAAATGTAATAAAATTAAATAAGGGACAGTTATCTTTTACACGTTTCTTCATCTTATTTTGTTGACTTAACCTTTAAATTATTACACAACACTAGTGTGACGTTTCAAATTTCTCAATACTTATTTTCTATTTTTCAACAAACAAATATACCTGGTGAATCAGTATAAATATGATTATGCAGCTTCGGTAAATGATCTAATCACAAAACGTTCTTGACTGAATTGTCTTTATTTCTTCTCCAATCATTTGGAGACATTTAGTTAATTATGGTTAGACAGAATCAGTAGAAAACTCTTTCACAGTTATCCAAAAGAATAAGGTTTGTTAAAACTGAATTATTATCAACTGCGATTATCGGAGATTGCAGAAGTCCACTGATTATAAGGTGAATCTAATATCCAGAAGAATTGTTAGATTTAATTTCATACATTTTTGTCGTTTTGATTCATGTCTTAACATCATTGCTTCATTTACTGTCGAAAATGTTTGAATATCTACATACTATCCTTATTTTTGTATATAAATCTTTCTTATGTGAATCGTTGATCTGGAGCTTTGGGTCCTGAAGCCTTAAGCGGTTATTTAAGCAGCGTTTTCATTTTGAGAGGTAAATGGTATTACGATGGTATATTTAAATTTTTAAGCCATTTGTTTTATAACTATAAAGTTATTGCAGTAAATTTCGTACTCCAAATTTATTTTATAGAGGTAATAGAATCACATACTGTGGACATAAAGTCCGCAAACTACCATGATAATAAATATTGTACAATATCTACAGAGACTAATATATTTTGTGGTACAGAAATGTTCGAAAACCCACCAGGTTGAAGATATTAGGCTGATTAACACTTCTGGAATGTATTTGAATGCATTTTTTGAAAAATTACAAACGAGACGTTGAAGTGAAATTGGATCTGTCTTTTCTGTTTTCAATTTGATGTTCCAAACATTTCCTAGCTTATTTAGGCTAGACACTTGTTTGATTACATTTCATTCTACTCTATAGTGTGGTGTAGTTTCTTTGCTTTCTGTTAATATCAAATTAACTGACTAATCATGAGTTTATTGTGAAATCAGTACTCTACACATAAATTTCATTAGTTGTTAGCTGTTCTAAGACATTAACATGTAAACATGTATTGTACTGGAAAGAATGATTTATGGTGGTACATTGGGTTATAGATTTGACACAAAGGCGTAAATATGGTTAGAAAGCGAGAGAATACCACATTAACTTCTGACTTACGAAATCGCATCTAACTCACTAAACAAACAGATATGGATGATCTCAGTTAAACAACCATCGGGAAGCAGAAAGCACTAGACAGCTGTTTGTCCTATTGTTGGACACCTTATCCACGAATCCACCTTGTTTTTATTGGTTATCTATCTAAGGTCAATCACTAATGTTATTTACGAGATACGACAGTCATCAAAATCTCCCTTTAGTAACTAATGAAAAATTATATTGAGAAAATATGAATTGTATAGTCGTTTATGAACTTATAGTCACTGACACAAATCATGATTAAAATTGTATTAATTTGACTTGTAGAAAGTAAAGTAATATTATAGAAAAGGTTTGGTTGTAGATTAGCGTTGTGATTATTTTAACTACATTCTGAAAAATAGTTCGAATGAATCCTGATAGTTCAATAGATGTACTGGACACTTTTCATTGTTATTATGTGTAACTTCAATGAATGGATGAATTACTATAATGTTTTTAATCAGTTTGTCATTTACATGCGTGTATAATAGTACGCACTCATCAATGTAATTGCTTGTATATTTTATGGTTAGAACTTCTGAGTCGCGTTGTAATTAAATGGAGTAAGCTCAGAAGCTTTTCTTCATCTTCCACCTCTTACTGTCCGTTTGAATGTCCGCATGTCTGAAATAAATTCTTACATCTCAATTCGTATTTGTCTTTTATTGCCACTGTTGCCCCAACAGGGATAGACTACGTATGATGTACAAAATTTAACAAACTTCCGTTCATACTTCATTTATCGTCCTTCATAATCGAGTGAACATTTTGCCACAAAATAAGTATGTTGCAGAATGACGTACGAGTATTCTTGATTGTTCAGATTGATTAATGGTGTTATCAAATCGATATTGACATTCAACAAATTCTCTGATTTCAGGAATTTACACATATCAGATTATCACTCTTTTTCAATATACATTCCTTTTATAGCTAATATGACCGGATCCGTTTCCTTCTGGCAGATTATTTTAATTGGATGAAATAAAAAATGATGAGAAATAGGAAAAATCAATTCTCAAGGATGACTATAACTCCACAATAAAATGTAACAAAACGTCGATATTAAATTTTATAGTAATAAGTTTATTCGGATTTTATGATGCTTGAAGATACGAAATTTCTTCAACATTATGGGTGAAATGCTTGCAAGCGTAGATATAAACGAAAAATTGATCTTTTTCTTCAAAATAATAAATGAACTATCTTTTACATTCATTGATACAATCCAATATATAGAATCTGTAACTGTTTATCATTAGTGAAGCGATCTCATTCTGAATCTTCTCTCTATATGAACTAATCTACTAGCGAATTTTTAAAACTCGAACTATTTGTAGTAATCTTTCCGTGAAATAAAATCACTGTCAATATTTATTTTGTTGCATTATTATTACAGTAAATTTTTTCTGTGCACTCTGTTTCTATTTCATTTTCTCTAGTTTTATATAATGATAAATAATTTGTAAACGTAGTGAGATCATCCCTCGATTAACCACACATCATTCAACATGATATTGCAATCCATCTCCTACGAATAACTGGATCCCAACTGGTACTTCATGTTATTACAATCCATAGGATAAATTTCCTTTCAAAACAATGAATAAAACATAACATTCTGAATCATTTTATCCTTATATCTCTGTGCTTTACATGTAATAATTCTTTCTGTATCAACATGATCATCCATGTAAATTAGCATGTGCTGTAATCATTTCTAGAATATATATTTTTCTATTTACATGATACTTCTCTGTCTTGAATCTGGACAAAACCAGCTTTTAAAACTGATACATTATCTTGGGATTTTGATGTTTGAAAATTTTATTCATAGTTAGTGAATATTTTAACACAATTATGGGACACTAGTTCGATTTCTTAAGATGTCAAAAACATTTTCGACTGATATGGGTTATGTAAAACAAAACTAAAAGGAACATTAGGTTATCACTAAATCTTTTCATACCTCTAAATTCACTTACTTCTATTAAGCTTACAGGGCAGTTGCTAGACATTGATGAAGTACACTTTAAAACTTTCCATGTCATTCATTACATTCAATATATATATATATATATATATATATATATATATATATATATATATATATATATATATATATAGGATTTAAATTTCTGTCTACTGAATTAACATACGGTTGTTATCCTATTTCATAACTTTTTCCATTTCTATATCTATCTTCCTATATGATTATTTATCGTTCAATATTTAGCACGTCTACAACATACGTATCCTAAATACAATTAGTTACTTACTTACTTATTGCTGTTACTTCTAATGGAGCATAGACCGCCGACCAGCGCTCTCCAACCCACAGTCCTGGGCCTTCTTTTCTAGTTCCATCCAATTATTGTTCATTTTCCTCATATCTGCCTTCATTTCTCAGCGTAATGTGTTCGTTGGTCTTCCTCTTCTCCTTTAACCTTAAAGATTCCATGTGAGGGCTTGCCTTGTGACACAGTTCAGTGCTTTCTTCAGTGTGTGTCCTATCCACTTCCAGTGATTCTTCCTCCCCTGGAATCTGGTTTGTTCTCTCCCATAGTAGATTGTTGCTAGTAGTGTCCGGCCAACGGATCTGAAGTATTTTGCGTAGACAACTGTTAATAAACACCTGTATCTTCTGGATGATGACTTTCGTAGTTTTCCAGGTTTCGGCCCCATACAGTAGGGCTGTCTTGACATTTGTATTGAAAATTCTGACTTTGGTGTTGGTTGCCAATTGTTTTGAGTTCCAGATGTTCTTCGGTCGTAAATATGCCGCTCTTGTTTTGCCGAACCGCGCCTTTAAATCTGTATCAGATCCACTGTGCTTATCAATGATGCTGCCCAGATATGTAAAGGATTTTACATCTTCCAAATCTTCTCCATCAAGTATGATTCGATTGAAATACAATTAGTATTCGACTTTAATATTACGGTTACTCAAAACATGTTAAATCAACAGAACATATACAAAATCAAACAGGATATATATTTTATTCATGTCAAAGTAGCCCGATCATACTGCAGAAAACAATGAGCAACAATATACATGGTGGAAAAACCAAAACAACTAGGACATATGTATTTAACCATTTACACAAACGTATTTCTCTAATTCCTTGAACACTTTGTAATGAAAAAAGTATGAATGCTTTTTTTCTCTAAACATGTCTAGTCTTTTTTTACAATAATGGCTTTATTCTTTCGTATTTTTCGTAGGTTCTTTTCAAAATTGTTTCGAAAAACCATTAGATTCATTATTTTCGGTATGTAGCGTTGAATGGTCTGTTGAATTGGTTTTTGGCAATAATCTGGATTTGATAGGATATGTAGTAGTTTCATATTCTCGTTTATTATTATTAATATTTGGATTTGACTGTTGGTCAGCTACTACTTCAGAATAAGATTCATCATTACATCCACCGTTATTTTCATTACCGATGTTGGCTTTCGGTTGATCTAAATTTTTAAATATAGTCAATGCCTAAAATTAATGATAGTAAATGGAAAAAGCAAGAGAAAGAAAAGAAGACAATCTCAGTAACAGAACATTTTCTACTATAAAAGAAAATTCAAAGAAAGAAACAATTGAAAATTACGGCAAAACTGCCCGGTATATTTTCAGATACACCATGAGCTATACTGAAGAAATACATTACATGATTGAAGATATACACTACTGACATATTGAATAAAGAGTAATGTTATTTCTCTACACAAAGTATTTAATATAAGTGTGAAGAGATCGCTTTAATAGTCAAATTATTCAACTTTTAACCATTAAATCGTAGGTATGAACCCTACTTATAACCACATAAGTAGTATATAACGGTGGCCAGGCATAGAATGTATTTCAGTAGAAGATCGATAAGGGAAGAACGGGAACGGAATGCGATTGGTATGAAAATGCATGAGCAATAAAATCTGAGACAATGGGACTGATATTTGTAAAAGAAACAGTCAAGCTTGAGACGATGGATTGATATTTTGCAAATTAACTATTTACTATATGGTTCTCAGATTTTAGTGAGACGTTCTGTGTGTTCGTGCCCAAATACATTCAATTGACCAACTCGTGTTCATGTTCACTACATTTTTACTGATACACACATTTATCAGCCTCTTACATTGCGTATGACTGACTGAAACCAACGCATATCCAACACTTTTATAAAATTTCAATTTGGGAAAGACATTTCTAATGATATACTTGAAAATTATTTGAAGAGATCAATTCAAAAAACATTTCATGCAGCGAATCCCTATGCTTCCGCATAAAAGACAGGTTACTAATAATGACTAATTCTACTTGTTTGTACCAGTTTTCCAGCTCCTGTATAACCATGTGTGTAGGTCGCCCATCAAAGCTGCTTCTTCAATGCATTCAAGAGCATCTACCTACCAGAGAACAGTACCAATTAATTAAATACTTTGTACTGTAACATGTTTTACAGTCAGGATATTCGTATTCGAATTCACTCTTTCACATTATTTACAAGATCCAATCAAATAATACTCAATTTATATGCCTAACTAAGCACGTAGAAGTGTTAGTTATCTACAATTTAAAACCTAGATTATATGTGCAGAAAAATACTTTGTTAAAATTCCGCTTTACATTTTCCTAAATTCATAATATTTCACTCTTACATAACTAAGTTAAACATGTTCTTAATTTTTTGTCTAATATTATGAAATATTCTAAGTATGCATATTATTTATGCCATCTTAATACATAAATGATATCATACAGCTTTGAAAAGTATTCCTTAACTGAACATAGGGTTCCATTCAAATTAATGGATGAATTAACTCCAAATTATCAGTTACTAACATCAAAGTTTTGTGGATATTTTTTAAATTTTCACAGCTTGCATCACAGAATAACAACAGTTTGACAATTATCGAAAACCAAGAAACCCTGAACAGCTGTTTCATCCTAGTATATAACTCCCCAGCACCGTCTACCACAGACGGAAACCTGGACTTTTAGGTTTTATCACCGGCTGCTAACCTTTACACTATTGAATCAGTATTCAATGGTTTACATTTCTGATCCCAATTAGTTACCAATATTATGCAATTATTTTCTAATGTTGTTGGTAGATAACTGCTTTACATCCAATATGACTGAAATCTACTTGTCATAGTTTCTCACTAGAAATCCAACAATTACCAAGAATTACAACAGTTGTACTGATGTGGAAGAATCGTATTGAATGTTATTGAAAATACCGGAAACTTATAACTGAATGACAGTATGCAAGTCAGTAGATCGAGAGGGGGCTAATGATAATAGTTAACAGAATATATTTATTTCAATTTATATTAAAGAAACTAACCAGATCAAATACATGGCCAACGAGGCAATTGTCAAAAAACACAAGCATAAACTAGGAAAAAAAAGACTTAAATCAGTAGGCATAAAAGCCTAAGGAAACAAGAAAACTAAATCAGATATTACTTTTCTTCGAATCGCTCAAGCACTTCCAAAAATAGATCAGGATGAGGATGTATTCTTTGGTTTGAATGGTCCAGTAGACGAACCACACAACACCGAATAAAAAGATGGTAACCAGAAAGTAAAATACATTTTTGAAAGGTCAAGCTAAGGCTTATAGCGAGTAATAAATTGAACTAACAACGTCGTTTTGATATTGTAAAAAATGTAGATAAATTCCAAGATTGATCAAACTCACTTGAGTAACCATTGACGCAACATCACCACTATGAGATGGTAATAATACCGTATTGGTTGTCTTCGCTAAAGCACTGAAAGCTTCTATGTACTGTTCAGCTACTGTAAGCTGTACTGCATCTGCTCCACGCTAAAAATAAAATACAAACAGGAAAGTGAATCATTAGTACGTTTATAGAAAACCTTTCTAATTGTAAAATCACAGAAAACTCGGTGAATATATGATAGTTCATTGGGTTCAAAGTTACTCTACATTTATTATGGCGACTTGATGTTTTATGCTCTAAACGACCAAACAGTTAGTTTTTTGAGAGACAGGCACAAAATAACCAGTTCAAAATGGCCGGATAGAAAATATATGTAACAACCAAAAAGAGGAAAATTAGTTTACAATGATGACTTAAGCATGTTACAAATGTCATTCCAGACTTTCACATTGTATTTGATTTACTAACGCCGAACTAGTTGGAAAAAGCGAAGTGGTCAGTGTACGGCACGACGCCGGAGTATGTAAAAAAGCTGTATAGAACTGGAATCTGTCGGTTTATTACAGTTGATGTCATCGAGATGATACAAATAAGTGGCTTGAGACGTTAAAATATATGACTCAAAATAGGAGCAGACAGTGTTCTTTTCTGGAATTTACCTTTGTACTCTTCACAAAAGTGAGAGGAACTTCTTCAACTGAAAAAATCCTCACTGATTATATTTTCGAACTGATTTGTTTCTCCTATTATTATTAACTATTCGAGTTCACATGTTTCTACTCATTTAGTTCATTTTACTCCCTCTCGTTCCTCTACCCCTTTACAATCTCGTTTTCATAACTTTATGGAAGACATTTATTTTGGTACACATATACACCAATATGATGTGTTTAAATGTTTACATAAAAATTAGGATTGACCAATGAAACATGGGAAATTATATGACAAACAAAACCGACTACTCATAAGTAAGGCCATTACAAAACACATCTCACAAACGTGTCAATATATACTACTTAGTACAACACTTAGAATTCCGTTTTTAAAACTATACAACTGGAAAGAACATATAACCACATTAATATTCTACTAAGTTATAAAACTTGAATATTCCTAATTTTTAAGTCTCATTTAATGACATTTAGTACTTTCAGCCTGGTACATACCACTAAACAAGTAAGCGCCTCAAAGGGATGTATACGAATATTCATCAATATTAGAACGAATAGTTTGTCAAAATTGGGCACCGAGTATAAAGAAGCCATTATATATGAAGGTTATATTTGAAATAATCTCAGCGATCGAAATTTTTCAACCTTCAACCTTCATTTTTGTTTTTATCCTTCATACAAAAATAAATTTAACAACTGATATCAACTATTAATAACTCTATCTTACACACATACACAATTCATTCAGCCATTTAACTCCAAATCGTGAACTTTTCACATGAGTCACATTTAATTGACTCATGTTATCCTATTTACTAAAGTCAATATCTAAATATGATTGAATTAGCACAGTACTGATATGATGATGTTGATTATTACCCTGAAGAAGTCCAGACAAGTTTGCTGGACAAAACGTTGAGATTATTTTAAATTTCAATAGCTGAGATTATTTCAAATATAATTTTCACTTGTAATGAACTGAAATGGATGCTTGAATTTCTAAAAATGAAAAAATAAAAATAAACATTCAAAAGGTGTATAACTTTTTTAGTACAGGATAAATTTATCCTGAAAACTTCAGTGATAACTTTCAATGTACTGAAATATATTCCTTACCTTAGTACCGATTGCACGAGCAATGGTTTGGATAGACTGAGCTCGAGCTTCTGCTAGACGTTGGATAGCTTCAGCTTCACCTAAACATTAAGAGGGAAAATCAAATCAAAATTCTTCCGTTTAATATACAAAAAAAAAACCCTGGAACCATAGAGCATCAAGATGTTTTAGAATGATAATAACGATTGAATGATAATCTTTACTATTTCCAAAAACACGTTCCTTTATCTTTGTGATGGAATTTTATCAAGATAGTTTATATGGTACGTACATTACTCGTTTTTGATTACCGTTATTAGTTAACTCACAATGCTGCACAAATTTCAAAAGACAATACAAAACGTTGACTACATTTTATACAGCTGGTGGTAGAACTCAACTTTGGTTAGATTTAAGTTGAAGTCCATCGAAACGTAAGGAGAAATAACGTAGAAACATCCTTTAATTGAGCAGTTACTTTTGTGCTAGAAGAACATGAGTAACAGTAAGTGAGGAGAAAACTCGTTAGTACAGCTTAATGATACACACGCTGACAAGACTGGAATTCAGTGTAAATCGCTGAAAAAGTGAAAACAGAACGCATTTACAGATTTACAAGTACATAACGAATCGAAAACACTTCACCGAAATCATTAGCACGGATCTATAGGACACAGAACCAATCATAAGCCCGTTGAGTGACCGGCATTAAGATTAGAATATTAAATAGCTGCTTGAGATATGACGTTCGACGACAGCTTCCAAGACAACCATATAGCAAATTGAAATCATTTAGATAGAATGGAATATGCCATAGAAACGAAATGGTAAATGGAAGATTAAGACTGATATCAGAAATATAAGCACAATAGAATTGGGACGGCACAAATTTAACATAGTATGAAACGAAAAACTGTAGTCTGTAAGGTGAGTGATTCGTAATTGTATCTTTTCTAATTAGTAGTTATCGTGATTGGTGTGATGCAGAAACAGTATTTGGGCCGTCAAACCGAAATAGGTCACTTCCTTAGATAACCAGTCTCGATTCCATCAACGTTTCCCTGTCTGTATTAGTTTGGTCACTTACAAATACGCCCTAGCTGTATAATCAAAGCAATAGACTTTACTATGTCGTCATTGTAGTTCCCTTTCCGCAATTGGGGTGCTCAAGGGATATGAGCGTACGTAGTATTTGAACCGGGCAGAATATCACGACGATTATGCAGCATTCAACTAATGTTTTAGAAACTATGAAACTCGTTATCTCAACAAATCAGATATGTCTTGGGAACAATGACTTTAATTACGATGGCACTAGCAGTGTTCGTTTTTCGGATAATTATTTGTGAAATTTTTAGTGCGAAATGAGCAGCACAGTAATAACGAAAATTGAACACTTACCTGAAGCTTTATTTACAATTTCAATCTGGTGACCTTCTGACTCTAACACCTGGCTACGTTTTAAACCCTCAGCTCGATTAATAGCAGCTTCACGTTGTCCTTCTGACTCCAAAATGGATGCACGCTTCTTTCGTTCTGCTTCAACTTGCATTTGCATAGCTTCTTTGATTTTTTGTGGCACCTGAACATCGCCTAAAATGCGTATATAAATATATCACAATCACATCACAACTATATTCTACTTACGAATTTCATAACGCAAACACTCAATACCCCAAGGCTCTGATGCTTTGCCTAAAGCTTGTACGATTTGAAAATTCAATGCCTCTCGTTCTTTAAAAACATTGTCCAGAATTATCTTCCCGATTTCTGATCGCATAATTGTTTGAGCTAACTTTAATTATCAAAGAAAAAAGAATTCTGAAGTTAAATTGAAACGAACAATTTAAATAAAAATGTAATGAAGCCTCACTGGATATCTAATAGTCCGAATTTACAAACTAAATCCATTTAAAAAAATTTTTTTAAGATTTTGTGAAACTGAAACACCCGGTCACAACAGGTTGGTCCATCTGAAGAAATGCATTTGGAAGTCAGCTTACATATTTACTTACGCCTGTTACCCCTCGCCGAAGAGCATAATCCACCCATCACTCTACATCCAACTCTGTCCTGGACAATTCTTTTCAGTTTTTTACAGTCACTATTCATCCTTTTCATGTCGCCTTCAAATTTCCGTCGTAATGTGTTCTTCGACCTTCCTCCTTCCGGTTTCTTATCAATATTCTAAGTTAGCGCTTGCATCGTGATGAGGCTTTATGATTTCCACAATGTATGTCCTATCCAATACCAACGTCTCCTCCTAATTTCCTCTTCCGTTCGAGGTTGATTTGTTCTCTCCCGCAGAAGGCTGTTGCTGATGGTATCCGGTCAACGGACATTCAGCATCTTGTGCAGACAATTGTTTAGAAATACTCGTACATTTCGATTATGGTTGTGGCAGTTATCCACAATTCAGGTCCGTACAGTGAAACTGTCTTGACGTCCGCATTGAAGATTCTGATTTTGATGGTGGCTTGGAACAGTTGTTTCCAATTCCATAAGTTCTTCAATTGTGGGAATGCGACCCTTGCTTTGCCAATTCTCGTATTCAAATCTACATCGGATCCTCCACGTCCATCGATGATACTTCCCAGGAACGTGAAAGTTCCCACATCTCCCAGAGTTCCTCTATCAACTGTGATTGGGTTGGTGTTGTCCGTGTTGTATTTGGGGATCTTGCTTTTTCCTTTGTGTATGTTGAGGTCTACTGATTCAGAGGCTGCTGATACACTAGTTGTCTTCATCTGCATTTCTTCGTGTGTATGAGATAGGAGGGCTAGGTCGACTGTGAAGTCCAAATCATCTAGTTACGTCTAAGCTGTCCATAGTATTCCGTTCTTCCCCGCAGATATGGAGACCTTCATAATCTAGTCAATAACCAGAGGAAAGAGAAAGGTGAGAGCAAGCAGCCTTGTGTGACATCAGTCCTCACTTGGGATGCGTGTCAGCTGTTCCCCACGTACCACTTTGCACTGTAGTCCGTGGAGCATGTTTGCAATTGCTTCCACGTCCGAATTAAAGCTTCGGATGAGCATACTAACGAGTTCTGCTGCTTTCCCACTGTTGGTTTGTCGAGTGGACATCCTGATTTCCTCCATCGTTGATGTTGTGACATCAATAGGAAGGTATAAAGGCTCCGCCTCGATTTCCGGTGGATTCAGTGTAGTTGGTCTATTCAAGAATTCTTCAAAGTGTTCTATCTATCTGTTCCTTTGTTCTAGAATCTCAGTGATTGATTTGCCATCTTTGTCCTTGACCGGTCTCTCTGGTTTACTATATTTCCCTGACAGTTTCTTCGTTGTGTCAGTTGTTTCATATTTCCTTCTCTTGCAGCTTTTTCCACTGTCTTTCCTAGGTCTTCAACGTATTTTTGCTCCAATGCTCTTCTTCACTTGCTTGATTGCTTTACTGTATTTGGCATGTGCGTTGAGATTCCCATCCTACAAGTGTATTTTGTGCTACTTTGGACAGCATTAGAGCAACTCCCTGAGTGCGTGGAGCATTTTCATTTTCGTGACCGGAGTACAACAGCATCTCTCCCATATCTAGTCTTTGCTGTCCAGCTTGGATCCAATGAGTTTCACTGACTCTGAGTACTGCCAAGCTGTATCTCCACATTTCCATTGCTATTTGACTGGTTCCCTCGGTCTCCCACATTGTCCGGACATTCCATGTACCTAAACTAATTGTTGCTCTGGTTGTTAGAAGGGGCATTAGCCTCGTGAATTTCGAAGAATCTCTGCTTTTATCATGAGGTGCCATAATTCTTCCTTCAACTCCCAGGCCAGAGTTGAAATGGTTTAATTTGTTTAATCTGGCTGGCGTTTTTTAGCAAGATTGTCTTCTATGGGATGAAGTTGCCGACCCCATGCCCAAAAAACCAGTCAATCTATTCTTTAGGAAAAGTATTTATTATTTTCAGAACACCAGATAGATTTTAATCACTTGTCGAAGTACTCAGTGAATAGATAGGACTAATCAACTTTATTTGGTTTTACATCTTATGTTGTGAGTCACGAGAAAATGTATAGCAAATGTTTTAAAATTTGATTCAGTGGATACGCGATGTCTAGACTACTGTTGGGGTTGCTATATCTCTAGAGGAAGACATGGTTATCGCCTCACTTTCATCAGAAGACCACGCAGAATGTTACCTGATGAATGCCATTCGTGTCGTAGATCCAAACCGCTTCTAGGAACGGGCCGACCGTTAAGAAAACTATAAAACTACGCCACTAACGGTTGGCCATCTACTAGGTTTGATGGTGATGTGAAGCAACTTTACCATTGTCGGGATTCGTTTTGCGTCGTAAACGAATGCTTGATTTTTGGAGAGTAATTGTGCCAGAATCCGTACGATCGAATGCATTAAAGCAGTTTCATATTGCTTATCCTGGAGTAAAACGAATGAATTTCATAGCTCGAAGTTTTGCATGTTGACCACTCATGGACCAGTACATCACGGAGTTTGTAGGCAGACGCATGCAGTGCCAATAAGCAGCGAAATTTAACGATAAAGTACAGCCTATTTCGTGGCCACAGCCTGAATACTCTTGGTCTAGGATGCGTGTTGACTTTGCTAGCCCAATTAAAGGAACTACTTACTTAGTTGTAGTTGATGAGTTTTCGAAATGGTCAGAAATTCTCTCCGTCATGCCACCAACGACAACCAAAACGCCACAGCACTTGGCAAAGATCTCTTGGAACGGATTTCCTGATGTAATTGTATCACATAACAGTTCGCAGTTCACTTCCAACCAGTCCCAAGAATCCTGCCGACAGCTAGCCGTCAAACATTTCCGCTCTCTCCCTTATCACCCACAGTCAAATGGCCAAGCAGAAAGGTGTTAGGGATGCTAGATTCCCAGAAATCACTTGGTTAACATCTCGTTTTCGTAATTTTATTTTGGAAATTTTAATTTTTCATTTTTTGCGCTAAAAGCGCCCACTTTTACCTGTACATTGTATTTTCCACTTGGAAGGACCTTAAATGTCATTGGTTCGTTTTAGTACGCTAGTTTGTGACGTTCCAAAGACATTTTTGTACTGTATTTATACTCGTGAGTTGTGTGCATGTTTGTTCGTGGTTCTGACTGTTTGCAGAATATACATTTTCCTAAGCTAAATCTGGTTTTCTCCCTCTAGTTAACAGGGCTGAGGAGCAGTGGAATAGCTTAGCTTGTTCTGTTGTAGTGTTGCTGACTTTCGTTTCGTTCACTGGTTTTAGTTGATATAGTAACCTTTTCAAACGTAGCAACTACAGGGCTGCAGATAGACGGTGTTAATAAACACATATACTAAGACAATGGGGTTTTCGAAGATTAGTTAACCAACTAGCATCACCTAGACAACTATCGAAAATAAAAGCGCTTAACAACTATTTTATCTTAATTTACAACGACTAGTACAGACAATCAATAATTTTTATCTTCCCAACTGATTTCACTGGCGAGTATATAAATTTATTTTATAAACTCTTAAATGAGTTGTCTTTATATGCTTTGCGTAGCCTAACATAACATAGTACAGTAGTTTGCTACAACTACACTATTATTTCTGTTGTAGTGTGGATATGTTGTAAATTATCATGCTCCAGCATCTACAATGTAAGCTTCCTGATTAATTTACTCACCAATTCTATTTTTAACTTCCTAAAAACATCTAGTTAGTTTCACCTGAGTTGATTCAAAAGCAAACATGAATATTTAGTGACTAAGACATGATCAAAACTTAATTGACAGACTCAATGAACCTCTTCAATACCTCTTTAATGACCTGTAAGGTTCCAGGTTACTTCTTTTTGTCCATACCTCACTAATTCTTGATATGGGAGATGAACAATATTCACAGTTAAAGTTCGAAATTAATACAATCAATACAAAATACACGTAAATATCTAGATTTCCTAATCTACGAATACTCGACATAGACAAGCAAAGTTACATATTTTACTGAGATTTAAAGCAATCACTACAATATAACAGCAACTATCTATTCAAAAGTACAATTAGTTTTTCATATCCTAGATGGCCTGAAGACAAGTCGCAAAAAAAGTGATATTTCTTACAACTAATTTTGACTGTCATATATAAAGAGAAATATAATTCAAATAAGTTAGCAACAATAGGAAAAATTAAAAATGTACCTGAGTAATTGCAAATTCAGCCTCGGACACTCCATATGATGCCAAATAAGGATTTTTGACCTTAAGGAAGAGAACACCGTTCAATTGTAAAACGACATTATCTAGAATTAAAATGTTAATCATTTAGATTATCGTTCATCTTTAACCATTATCATAAATTTAAAACATTTAGTCCCTTTGACAAATTTCGATAATGCAATGAGAAGACGAAGGTTATCAGAATTATGTAATATATTTGCGCAATACATTTCAAACAGTTTGATCACACATATACTTGTTAAGACATTTTTATATGAGAACTAAAAGGTCAACTAGACAGATTAAAGGTAAGTTGTAACAGAGAAAAATAAAGTACACAAAAACAATCTAGCAACAACTCTGGATAATAAGTCAGTATTGCCAGAGTTTATTTATTTTATTTATTTTAACACATAAGTATAGGTACAGGGAGGCACCAAGTACATATGCGCCACACGAATCTCAATTGATTTGTGTGAGGGCTGTGATACTGCCTGGGTGCCCAAACCGAAGCAGGTGGTTTTCGTAGGGGGCCACACCCCGAGCCTTTAACCTGAAGATCTGATCCACAAGGCAGTGGAGCATCGTGAGGAGACGCAGTCCCATGGTAGCCGGTGACCAACGATTGGTTCATACGCCATTTGTTCCCGCAGGATACTGGAGCCCATGTGCACCATTGACTTGGGGTCCGGTTAAAGCGCCGAACATTCGCTTTTCGTCCTCTCGTTTTTGTAAACAACACCCCCGCCACGAGAAGGCAGTGAGTAGGACTTCCCTGGCAGAGGCTATATACGCATGGCCATGTGAGAGCATTTGGAGAGGGAGAGCGGACTCTCCCCACTCTCGGCCGTACCAGGGCATTTGGGGGCATACCACGTTGAAAGCACCGGTTCTCGTCCGATCACCGCATTGCAAGAGTAGGTTAAGTGTAACAACAAATTGTTTTTGAGCACAGTTTCCGTATAGCTCCAATAAACCTTAATATACGCTCTTGAAGGCTTCCTTACAACGCCACAAATGCTGACTTGATATCAACCTTATGACCAATCTCAACCAAATGTTTCGCAATGGATGAAGATGTCTATCTGTGATCTTATTTGACCATTGGAATTCATTATCATAAACTTTATTGAAGAATATTAAAGCGATTGCATTTAAATTGTCAGTAGTTAGTGGAAAAAGACAGAATCCACTCCCATACAAATGCAATAAGACTGAAAAGTATTATATTTATCCCTTCAACTTTTAGTAAATTTGAGATTATGTGAGGATGAACAATAGTTTAGCATTAATCAACTCTATAAATCTTGAAAGCATGATGAACTGAGTTTATTATTTATTTATTTGAACACATAAATATTGGTACAAGAGGGCACCAAATATATATGCGCCACACTATTAGTCATTGTTGAATTTATCGAAGAGTCTAAATCACCCGATTAAGATATGCGTAAAATCGAAGTTCACAAAACAACGATTTGTCTAAAAAAGCAGATCAAACATAGTCTATGTGTAGGTTGCAAATAATTGACTATATCTTCTGAGGATTAGATACACATGACAAAGCCACTAGAAGGTTAGTGAGGAAGTTAGATGTACAGTAATAGTGATAAATAATAAATAAGTAACCTTCATCGACCAAGATGGCTAAAACATGAGTTATGCAACCCAACAACCCCCTGCCTGCAACACTGACTATATTTGTTTTTGTTTCCACTCTTGCAGTTAATATCACTTGTTTAATTTTCGCTTCACTAAGCAAGTTTTTCATATTAAAAAGTTTTAACTAGTCTAAATCGCTTCGGATATTGAAATGGTTATGTTCGTGAAAATAAGTGAGACTTATAAATCTTGAAATCGTACATATTACATTGGCTACTTTCAATACATTCGCCAGCGCACTGATGATCGAACAACATACAAGTTTCGCTAAAACTCTAAAACACGTTAATCTTGAGAGTCTAAAATTCTATTAAATTGCTACAAATGAATTATCTACATGTTACCTTGTAATATATGAACCTATGGAGGCTGGAAATCAACTTCCTGCTGTTCGTTTAGATTTAAATCCTTGAGGTAAACGTCCACAAGAGTAGATGCAAGGGTAAATAAATATAGGCCAAACAGAAAATTTCTGTCTATAATAAGAAGCAGAATTGTATAGGAAGTAAACAACGCTGCAAGTATTCCGACAATCAAACGAAACTATGAAGGACATCTGTAAAAAAAGATCAACTAATGTGTACCAAAATCACCAGTCTGACACGCACCGTGGCTAAAGTATTGCAAACTATTATACTGAGCAGGTAAGGAAAAGACGCGGAAAAGATTGGTGTATGACTGAAATGGTCTTACAACTAGTTTATGTGTACAATTTATTTGCGGATAAATTGCTGGGAAATGTGGTTGTAGGCTTAGTATATTTGAAAAAAATTTAAAAACAACGTATCTGATTACCTGATGTAATGGCTGACTGATCTGGAATTTCAATGGCCACTTCCTTCAATGACTGTACATAAGCGACGCGATCTAGAATGGGTATACAAAAATTGAGTCCCTGTGATACGTTGCCAGGGATGAAATTTCCAAAAACTAACTGGTTCCAGTGTCCTGTGGAATTTTCCTAACCTTTCAATAACCCATGCTTCTTTCTCTGGGACGATTAATATCCCTATATTTATAGGTGCTCGTGATGTGTAGTCACGACTGCTAGCATATACCTAATGAAATAAAAGCATTCATATAGAAAGTGAGAATAAATAGTTTGCATAGTCAACCATAAACTTAGGTTAGTCACATAATGGGCTATTCTGAAAATGACATAAAACCTAAGTAAAATACAAATTATTAAGCTCAGCTCAATGACTGTTTTCAGTGAAATTTTTCCATATTCGTATAATGCATAAGCAATCCAAATTCCCAAAGCCCGACACCGAGACAATTTTATTGGGTCGGAATGACTTTTAAGAGCCACTCTCAAACTGTGTCGGTTTTATACATTGCCATACAGTTTAAGTACTACAACTGTATGAACAATCAAATTTGTGAACCATAATAATAATGAGGGGTTTCGTCAAAGTTGTTAAAAAATATGGAGGAATATTGATGAAAAACACGATTTCAGAGAAATTTCCCCAAAATTACTGGAAATGTTAGGGTCTTATCAATAAATATAGACGGATTTCCTCAAAGTGTTGAGATTCTGGGGAAGTTTTGAGGAAATCTTCAAAAACACTAGGGACCTCCCAGATATACGGAAAATTTGGTGTTATTGTGCCATTTTCTTGAAGTTCGGAGGTCGGGAAGTGATGGTATACCCTATTCAGAACATGACCCCCATTTGATATTAATTATATTCCAAAGTTAATTGGGTTTGTAGTAAATATGATCACACCTAAAACCAAGACAAGATAACAAATCGCGCGCCAAAACGTCACCAGAGTTCTAACTAGAGCTAACAGCTTGTAAGAGCTACCAACATTCCAGAAAACAGTTTGCATGCATGAGCGTCTTGCATAGTATTATTTCACCGTCTGCTAAAACTATAACAATTACGGCCATCATATTGTTAAATAATTATAAAGAATGGCATTTTGGAAGCCTTTACAAATAAAAGATACAGCTAACCCTGGAAAGTCGACAACTTGAACGGCCAATCACAGTACGAATCATGTTGACTGTAACCCACAGTCTTAAATTCCCTCCTTCACGAAATCAAATGGTTCTGTACGAAGTAAAAAAAGCTTTCGCTTAACAGGATTCCGTATCTAGTAACAGTGGGTCACCGAAATCTTCAGGCAGGAAGATAGGTGTATTAACGATAAAAGGAGAAAAAGAAACTGATGATTCATGGTAAGATATTGTCCTAAGTCCTTAAGAATATGTTTTAAAGGACTCCTAGGAAGTCTCCTGAACCAGATTAGCCGGCAGAGAATTCCAGCGTTTGACGATTCTTAAGGAGCAGAAGTTGTGTCTGCAATCCGCTTTGCCATGTCGTGTTTTTAGTTCCTGTGTGTTACCCCCTCAGTTCAGTGTTGGAGCTAAACTTAAGTAGTTGTTTAAGGGGGATGTCCAGAAGTGTTAAGGATGCTGTAAGCCATTAGAAGGCCACCTCTAAGACGCATGTGCTCTAATGGGTAAAGATTTAGTGATCGGAGGCGCTCTTCATAAGGCTTGGAATTGAGTCCTCAAAGTGAACTCGTGGCTCGCGTTTGGATGCGCTCCTGAGTGTCATTATCCTTTTGGAGTGATGGGGAAAATACTATTTCTGTACTATAAGTGTCAAGGAATGAAACTGTTGAAGATTATGTGGAAAGCTCTTCCATCAAACTGGCCAAAAATGCGCTTCAATGTTACCAGTGCAAGGTTTACTCGAAAGGCATTTTTGTCACTGTTAGTTTCACACAAGTATGAAGTAATATGTCACATGATACTTGTTGTGAAAGATCGTTTATATAAATCAAGAAAAGGAGATGTCCTAGTACTGAACCTTGAGAGACCCCACTATGATAATCCATAGCTCGAGAGAAAATGAAGTTAACCCTGATCTTAAAATGTCGATTTTTTAGATGTGAAGTGAGTCAATCAATTAAAGGTGATTTGATACCTAATTGTTTGGGCTTGTTGATAAGACGTATGTGGATGACCTTATCAAAAACTTTTCAGAGATTAAGGTAAATGACTTCAACCTTCCCCTTGCGATCAAGGATGGTTGTCCATTTGCCCACCGCAGTCAGCAGGTTGGTTATACAAGAATGACCTTTCCTGAAACCATACTGTGGTAGTAGAAAGAAGTTTAAGGATAACAAATAGTCGTGCATACCGTTGCATACCAGGGACTCCATAATTTTTGAAGGTAAAGAGAGAAGAGATATCGGTTGTTGACTTGAAGGTTCTCTGCGTCGAAAGCCTTTGAAGATTGGTGTGATGTGAGCCAGCTTCCAAATATCCGGTAATGTGCCTCAGCTCAGCAAATGTGAGGCAATTACTCTGGACGGTGTCACCAGGACTGAGGCTGCTTCCCTCACTATAGCAGAACGAACCATATTCGGACTAGGAAAAGTATCCTTTTCTAAGTGCTGAAGTTTCCGGTCAGCTCACAGGTTCACTTTGGAAAGCCCTGTGCAATTGCAGATGAGGCTTTCATCGATTTAGTAAATGTGGATTGATTTAAATGTCCGAAAGGTTAGCAACGTCACCGTCGTTATTGATTGGGCCACTAATACATGGCAGTTGGGAAAATCCAGTTTTGGGTTGTGGAAGAGCTGCTGTATAACAGAATAAGCCTTTCAGATTAGAGACAAATTTATCGATAAGCTTTGTCTGACTTTGAAGCCCATCTTCCCTTATTGCCTTTTTGCTTATGTAGTGGCATTGGGCCTCAACCACACAATACCCAAATCTGAACACAAGACAACTTGGAAAATAGATTTTCAACTTTTAACGCGGAGAAAAACCCAACGATAGAGAAGGCGGGAAATGGAATTGAATGATAGGATTAAATGGCTCGTTCTTGCAGGCGTGGTCTTACTTAAGTAACGTTGTTTTTATCCATATTAAATACATTGTTCTATTTCCAGCATGAATGTGTTTGTAAAATTATGATCTACTATGATATTAGCACTGCTCTAATAATAGACTTAATCCTAAAATTGTAGATTTATCATGATGTAACTGCCTAATCTATAAGATCTTACGTGGAAGTTACATCATCGTCTACACCAATTCATTGCATTGTAACAATTACCAATACGTGATAGAAAACAAGCTTAAGCTAGAGATAGAATATATTTAATATGAATAAAAGATACAAGATAACATTCAACAGGGACCACGCCTGCAAGGCCGAGCCATGCCATCCGATCATCTCGGACTAATTCAATTTTATTCTCCCCGCCTTCTCCATTCTTCTGTATTCCTCCGCGTTAAATGTTTAATGTCTATTTCTCATATTGTCTCGTGGTAGAGCCCAACGTCACTACACTACTCTCCCACCAGAATCAGCGTGACGTTGTTTCGATAGCAATTTTTGCGGGATTGTGGCGCGCCGGAGGTTAGCAAGAAGAATAAGAATCATCCGGGTATTGATAAACTGAAAAAAAGCCAAAAAGAAGGCGGTAGCATCTGGTCGGGAAACACACGTAATAATTTTAAAGTGTCTGGCTTAATGCCTAACACGCTCAAAATAAAAATTTGGGCGGAGATTATTTGAGCTAAACAAAGAGGGATTATAATTATAATGAAATGACTCCGTATAGGTATATTTTAATAAGTCGCCGTAAGATAGTAATAGCCGTAGGTTAATAACATTTAATGTTTAGAAATATTAAAAACGATCAATATTGTAAAAATGTTAAAACTGGTATTATATTTAGTTCAAACTATGAAATAAAATAACGTTCATATCAGAAATTTGTTAATGAGTTGATTCTATATCAAGGCAACGTTTACTTAACAAGTTAATCAGCGTCAACACTGACAGCTGGATAACCAACTGGCTATGTTCCTACCTCTCTGGAAGGGAACAGTACACGGTGTTTGGAGGAAAGTGTTCAGAGCCTCTAGTGTCTTATGAAGGTGTACCACAAGGAGCTGTTCTTTCACCTCTTCTTCTCTTTTTTTTTTCTGCATGATCTGCCATCTTCCACAGTAAACACCTTCGTGAAATATGCAAATGATCTCACTGTAAGTATGCTTATCTCTTCCTCTTTACATCTTACAGAAGTGAATGAGTCTTTGTCTCGTATTGATTGTTGGTCTGTTGTTAATGGTCTCATACTTAATCCGTCTAAATGTCAAGCTGTTAACTTTAGCATGAGACATGATTGGCATTTAAATACCATTTTGAGATCTCATAATGCTTGTGCCATTGGCGACTCATTGATAAACACAGTGTCGACGGTCAATTATCGTGGTGTTACCTTTTCCTCTGATCTCTCTTGGTCTTCTCACGTTTCATTGTTATCGAAGAAGGTTTTCCGTCTGACTTACTACATAAAGAGACTGTATGCTCTTGGGATCACTCGTCATTTACTCTTACAATTTGTCAATTCTTGCATATTACCTATTATTCTGTACTGTTCTCCGTTATTCTTTCCCGGGCTTTTGAGAAAAAACTTTGCTGTACTGCGGAGAGCGCTGAAGGCAGTTAGCAAGTTATGTGGTGAATCTTTTAAGACCATAATTAATATGATTGTGGATAGACATCTAAAGTCATGCAAACTCCTGGCAGATGTTATTTTATCAGATACTAACCATCCCCTTCACTCATATCTTTCTCCTTGTATATCTTCTGGTAGAACGAGACGAAATTACATTAAAATCCAGGCACGCAAGCAAAAGTATAAACGTTCTATAGTACCTTACCTAGCAAATGTACTCCGTGACGAACAGGTTGTTAGAGTTAACCTAGTCAATAATCTGCATTCTTAACATGACTCTAATTGAAAAGTTGTACAGTTTTTTTTCAGATTTTTTTTCAGATTTTTTTAAACCGTTTTTTTTTCGTTTGTTCTGTAAAAGAAACTTGTTGAAATATTTTTGTGCTGAGAATTCTATATTGTACCAAAATATAATATTGAATAAAGCCATAAATAAATAAAAAAAATAGAAAAATTTCCAATTGCATTAGTAGGCTAACCGAAAGAACAAAAGTATAAGCGCGGAGAAGAATTCCAACTAGTGTTCCAGTTAAGTTTGATACGGTTTATTTAGATATGGGGAGATTTTCTCGACCTTATTTTCACTTGATTATGATAGAATCTAGTGATACTACTAATACATATGAATGATTATCAAAAAATGTTTTAGTACGTGAGAAGTGATAATTATGTGAATTTCGGACAGATATACGAAAGCAAATCGTAAAACATGAGTGTATTCGTAAGAGACATGCTCAAGACTCAATGTTCTGACTTATCATAGACTATTTATTTATATCTACACCTAACAACTGATGGTGCATACAAGTTATTTGCAAGTATGCAGTTTAGCATGAGGCGGAATACGATTTGATTGAGATGTAGTGAATATAAGTTATTAAAATCAGCTAAGCCTATGTGCCACATTTCTAGGTGATGTGGTGCTTCACGATGTATTCGGCTAAATAAATTTTTACAAGATGATTAGCAGTGAGTGATGCTCAGATGATTACCAGGGAGAACATAAGTTGTAACCAAGGGGAGTACACTCCCAACTCATGTCTATGATAATGGCCTGATTCTTAGTCAGTTTTGGGGTAAGTTCGACATTGATGTTTTCAGTTTGCAGGAGATTTGCTCGACTGCTTATACCGATTATTTGCATGCATGTTTGTGTCGCTAAACCTCCAATTAGACTGACAAGGTTTTGAGATATTTACTGAATGAGCAACTGATAAACATACTGTAATCATCCTTAGTGAATGAAAAAAACGACACTACTTAATGATAATTATAAGTCAATTTGCTGACCGATTTGTTGATAGTTTCGTCAACTTTACCAATCATATTACGTGATTGTCAAGTCATGACAATGCTTTATGACGATATCCTGAAACCATTATGTTAAAATAATTATAGTATTGATTGAGGATAATCCAGTGAAAAATAGATGCTGTTGCTTTGTGTGATTCAAAATTATCAGAAATTCGTAGCGTGAACGAATCCGAGTTACCTGTTTATATTACTAATGGTAATTTAGATATATTCGTGTACATAATGTTAA